GGTCACCTAGCAGCCCTCCGCATCCATTATCCCCACCAGAAGGCTTGGGGTCGGCTGGGTCTTCTCGGACTCAGCAAGCGGCACCCGCCGCTGGTGGAGCACGTCGCATGTGTTGGACAAAAGCTATGAACAAAAACGCATTGCGGGCGTACTATAGGGCGAAAGGGGAAGAAACTGTGGGGATAGCGTATAGGGCTCGGATGCATTGCCTTTTTGCTGAGCTGGAGCCATCTATTCCCGTCACGGAACAAAACCTGGCAGACCGAGTTCGGTACATCATGCGCTCGAAAATATTTGATGATGCCGAACTCGAACAACTACGACGTGAGGCTATTCTCTCATCGAATGAATCGGCTATGGCTGGGGATGCGGCTCCACAGACGACAGACCAGCATCCACGCGTGGAAGCCGCCATAGATCTTCCAGTTGTGGTTGATTCGCACGATGATGAAATGGTCTCCAACGAACTAGAGCAAATGAGAAGCATATTGGAAGAGGCGATTTTGGAAACGCGCAGCATGCCTCTCGAAAATCGACCGCGACTTCCCCGCATACCCCTAAGCAAGCGTAATCGGGCTGTCATGAGGGTTCTTAACCCAATGCTGGTAACCTATTTGGAAGCCAGCCGAGACCTTTGCGAGACGGACTCAATTCTTTTTGGCGCCGCAGTGGCAGCTTGCCGTATTATTGGTGCCAAACTTCCCATGGCTGTACGCGCTACTAGACAAAGTAGCGCCATCCCAGCCTGGAGAAAAAGAATCGAGGCCCGTATCGCAAAGGCAAGGGCCCTTATCGGCAGGCTGACAAGCTTCAGGTCAGGTAATTGTTGACTTTGATTTCATTTATAGGAATTTAGAGAAATCAAACCACACTCGTTGTACCATAGAATAATAGAGAGAGTTTATTTGGTCTCTCATATATTGAAATTTATCTCTAGGTAAAGCCTTAGTTAGAAAGTCAGCAAGTTGATTGCATGTTGAAACATATTTTAAATCAATAACTTTAGCATAATACTTTTTCTTTATAAAATGATACTTAGTGTCTATATGTTTGCACCTCTTGTGAAAGTTAACATTTTTAATAACACTTATTGCACTTTGATTGTCTATATTTATCACTACTGTTTGTTGCTCAAATTCACCAAGATCACATAATAACTGTTTGATCCAAATAGCCTCTTTGGTGGCACCACATGCGGCCATAAATTCCGCTTCTGTAGTCGATAAAGCGACAGTGTGTTGCCTTTGACTACACCATGTTACAGCAGCTCCACACATTTGAAGAAAATGTATCCAGTTGTTGACCTTCTAGTAGTGAGGTCATTAGCATAGTCAGCATCACTATAGCCAACTAATTCAGAAGATTTTGCTGAATGATAGCATAGGCCAAAGTTGATAGTGTCTTTGAGATACTTTAGAATCTTCTTGACGGCTGTCCAGTGAGACTCATCATAGCAATTCAAAAATCTACCCACCAAGCTCACAGCGAACATTATGTCTGGTCGGCTTACTATGGCAACATGCATTAGAGAACCAACAGCTTCTCTATAAGGAAGATTCCTGTCAGGCTGGTGCTCACTCTTCTCCAGCTTTGAGTGAGGGTCAACTGGAACGCTGTTGGGGTTGGCATTATCCATATTAAATTTATTTAGCAACTGTTTGATATATTTGGATTGATGTATAAAGATATATTTGTCTGAAACTTGGATATCCATTCCAACAAAGTTTCCAGGTGGGCATATTGTCATATCAAATATTTTTTTCAAATCATTTGTTACAGACTGCAGAGCAGATTTTGATTTAGAAAATAGGAGCCCGTCGTCCACATAAATACAAAGACAACACTTAGTTTCTTTTATATTTGCAACATAAACACATTGGTCTGCTTTGCTATTTATGAAGCCAAATTTCTGAAGTACAGAGTTGAATTTGGTGTTCCAGCACCGTGGTGCTTGTTTAAGACCATACAGTGACTTTATCAATTTACATACTTTATTGGGTCCATGTATTAGACCTTCAGGTGGATACATGTATATGTTTTCTTCTAGTTCTCCATACAGGAAAGCTGTCTTAATGTCAAGTTGAAAAATTTCTTAGCCGTTTTTAGCAGCTAGAGATAATAATAAACGTATTGAATCATACCTTACTGTCGGTGAGTATGTTTCCTTATAGTCAATACCTTCTGCCTGTGCACAACCCTTTGCACGCAGCCTGAACTTGAAGCGAGGACCCGTTGGTTGGTCTTTAACTCTAAAAACCCATTTACAGCCGATTATGTTTGTATTTGCAGGCTTGTTTACCAATATCCACGTGCCATTTCTTTCATGGGCTTCAAGTTCTTCTTCAATTGACTTTTTCCATTTTTCAGCATTCATACAACTGATAGCTTTTTTGTATGATTCAGGGACTTGCTCAGGCTTTAAGGATTCATCATAGCAAAGGTAAGTTTGTTCTTTATTCTTATTTCTAGATCTCAAAGTTATGTTACTTCGCGGAGGAGTATCAATCTTCATTTCTGGTAAGTATTCTTCTAAATCCGAGTTATTTTTAACAGTATCATATGAGCTATCTGAGTTATAAGATTTTTCCTTGCTTTCTTCATTGGACTCATTTGACATTAAGCTTTTATTATTACTTTTACTATATGTATCTAATGTTTTGTTTTCTGTTTCAGATAATTCCAGAGCTGCATAGTTCCTCTTAACGGTGGATTCAAGAAATACAGCATCCCTGCTCTTGATAATAGTTCTTGTGTTTGGTATTATGAATCTGTACCCTTTTGTGTTCTCGCAATAGCCAATGAAGATCATTTTCTGTGATTTCCTGTCCAAACCTCTTCAGGTGTTTTAAACAGTAAGGATTTAGTTGGAGATCTATTTATGATGTATGCAGCAGTTTTTATAGCTTCAGCCCAGAAAAACTTTGCCAATCCAGCATTCAGAATCATACACTTTGCTCTCTCGACTAATGTCCTGTTTAACCTCTCTGCAGCTCCATTTTGCTCAGGAGTATAAGGAGTTGATGTTTGGTGTCTTATTCCTGCACTTTTAAGGAAGTCAGAGAATGGTTTGTTGACATATTCCAGGCCATTGTCAGTCCGAATACATTTGAGTTTACATTCAGTTTGGTTTTCAACTTCTGTTTTGAACTCTTTGAATTTTGACAATACCTCAGTTTTGTTGTTCAAAATGTACACAAACACCTTTTTGGAATAATCGTCCAAAAATGTTAAAAAGTATTTGCCCCCTCTTAATGACTGTGTTTCCATGGGGCCACATAAGTCAGAATGCACCGGTTCCAATAGCTTTGAAGAATGTGATCCTGGACTCTTGAAGGACATTCTTGTTTGCTTGCCTTCTTTACATGTTATACAAGTTATATTGTTTACTTGTTTATCAGACAATGTGAATCCTTCAGAACTCTCTTTCAATTTCTTCAAGGTGTCTAGGTTCAGATGACCCATTCGTGGCCATAAAAATATATCATCTTGTTTAATATCAGACATGTATGCATAGTCAGTATTCATGTTAAGCCGGTACATGTTGTTAACTTTTGTTGCTGTTGCTACAATAACATTTTGTCTGTTCAGTACAGTACAGCCATTGGAGTCAAATTTAACTAGACCACCCTTTTCTGTAATTTGATGAACAGATATTAGATTCACTGCAATTTCTGGTACGTACAGAACGTTTGTAAATAAGATTGCATTTGACTGATTTTCTCCATTCAATGTATTCAATGTCACATCACCAGAGCTACTCACTGAAAGTGTTTTGTTGTTTGCAACTTTGATTTGTTCTTCAGGCGGTGAGCGTTCATTTTGCAGGTTTTGATGTCTTGTCATGTGCATGGTTGCCCCAGAATCAATGTACCATGCGGACCTGTTGTTGTCAGATGGAATGACGAATGCGGCAACATAAGAACTATTTGATTTGGCAACCTTTTCTTTCGGTTTTGTCCTGCATTCCGTACTCTTGTGTCCATATTTGTTACACTGAAAACATCTAGGACATTTTGTGAACTTCTTTTTCACATTCTTGGTTTGATAACCATGAGCAGATGTAAAAGCAGAGTTATTGTTTTCAGATTTTACTTCTTGGAGCAATTTTAATTTAAAGAATCTGCACTTATTTTCATTCCAGAGCTCTCAATGGCAAGGATCATTGGTTTGTAATGGTCAGGTAGCCCGGAGAGTAAAAGTGTCCCGAGCCACTCATCATCAACTTGGAATCCTATATTTCTGAGCTTATGTGCTGTAGACATTATCTTGCTCACGTATTCATCTATGTTTTGGCAATCAGAGAGTGTAGTAGTGCAGAGATCACGTAGTAGGCCAACTCTGCGTGTAAACCCAGAGTCATCGAAAGCGCGGGATAAGTTTTCCCACACTTCTTTCGCCGTTTCTGCCTCTTGGATGTGTACGTAATTGATACTATCGACAAGTAAAATTATCTTAGATTTGGCTTTTGTGTCCTTGTTTGCGTCGAATGGTTCATTGTTGGGATTTTCTATGCATTCCCAAAGTTCTTCATGTTGAAGGTATGTTTTCACAGCAAATCGCCAGGTATCGTAGTTTTCTCGGCCTGTTAATTTTTCTATTAATGCCAGAGGATTGCTGCTAGCCATGATCACTGGGATTTGGAAAACTGAACCACGGGGCTTGGAGGTTATGTCGACGACACAATGTCGCTTCACAGGTACAAGTTATTTTTAACTTTTACTTGTTATTCTAATAAACTTCACAATCGCTTATCTTTATAACTTTGGCTTTACTGGGCCCATAACCTGTTGACTTTGATTTTATTTATAGGAATTTAGAGAAATCAAACCACACTCGTTGTACCATAGAATAATAGAGAGAGTTTATTATTTTATAGAGCTGTCATAGACTACATTGACCATTGATTGTCATAGGTCAGTTAAACATCGCCTAAGAAAAGGCGGCAAATTTAAAATTAGTTTAACAGTAATAATAGACCGAGGGTTGTGCGCACCGTTAGAATGGCGTTTGCTGGGACAAACATCAGTTTGTCCCAGCCGGGTATCACGCAGAAACTAAGGGAGCGCAGAGATGACCTGAAGCAAAAAATCGCTGCTTCAAGGCGGTTCAACCAGAATCGTCTCTTCCAGAGTGATCAGAAGAGGCTCTATAAATCGTTGGAGCGACCAGAGGTATGTGAAGCGGGCTCAGGACCGGATCAGGCTGACATTATCGCATTCTGGCGTGGCCTGTGGTCAGAGCCCGTAAACCACAGCGAGGGCCCTTGGATGGAAGTTGTGGCGAGCCAGGGTGCGAGTATTACGCCTATGGACCCCATCACCATAACGCCGGAAGACGTGGCTCAGGCGGTCCGTAGAGCCCCCAACTGGAAAAGTCCGGGGCTCGACAGGCTGCATCATTACATTAAAGAGTTTACGTCTAAAAAATAAAATCGGTGTATATTTTGCTGGAGCACTGCTTGCGGAGGCGTGCCAACTCTGCACCGCACATCTCAACTTAATAGTCATCCGTCTTTCTCATCAAGTTGCCGACGCAAAGTTTAACCGCGCTTAAATTTAGGCCTACTCGCTATACTTTTATGCATACGCCTAATTGATTCATGCTTTACTCAACTTTTGCGGTACAAAAATTGAATTATGCCGCTAAAACGTACACCACCGAAGACTCCTCTTTCAAATAAAACTAGTAGTTCTACGCTAGAAGTCACTGCTACACCAAAAACAGAACAATCAAACTTAGAGACAAACTTATTTAATTTTGAAGATACTTTTGTTACTACTAGGCGAAAAAAATGATAATTTAGAATTAAATCACTTCATGAGAGAAATGAAAGAGATGTTATCAACCGCCGCCTCGCAAAATCAACAAAAAATATCATTCTTAGAGTCCAGCATTAAGGAAGTAATCTCTCAAAATTCTGGAATCATGGATTCGCTGAACTTTATATCACGTCAGTACTATGATTTAAATAATAAGTTCCAGGCGCTATTAGCCGAGAGAAAAGAAGATCGTGCCTACATCCATTCAGTGTGCAAACTTGAATCCGCAAACTTGAAGATAAAATCTCGCGCTTAGAACACCTTTTGCATTCGACTAAAGTTGAATTAAAAAACATTCCCAAAAATGACCGCGAGACCAAAGAGAATCTATGCATCATTGTTCAGAAAACCGCACAAACGTTGGATGTGTTAGTACAGCCCAGTGATTTAAAGAACGTATATCGCACAACAAATAAAACCGCCCACACGATAGTTGCTGAATTCACATCAACCCTTGCAAAAGAAAAATTAATAAAATACGCCCGTAGATTCAGCAAAACTAATAACGGAACTTCTCTCAATACGTCACTCGTAGGTCTCACTGCCTATATACATTTCTGAGTACCTTACTCCATATGCAAGAAATATTTTAACTATCTAAAAAATTTTCCAAAGAAAATGAATATAAATATTGCTGGACATCCTATGGAAAAATCTATATGCGTCAGAATGAAGGAAAACAAGCACTAAAAATAGATAATGAAGAGGAATTAAAGAAATTATTGAACTTCCAAAGTGACTAGTAATAAGTGTCTTCTACTCACCTAACACTTATTTCACTTGTTTACGTAATACATTCAAACACAACACAACTCAACCACTCACTCATTAATAGTAAACACACACTCTTAATTGTAATATTTTTATGCAAAACTAATTTAATATTTTCAATTAATATTTACCTATTCTTGCCGTTTATAAAATGTAAATCACTTTTAACTGCTCAGAATACTCACCTCATACTTATTCCACTCATTTACATAATATATTCAAACACAACACAACTTAATCACTCACTCATTAATAGTAAACACACACTCTCAATTGCTATATTGTATATACGATCCATTAACTATAGCTTTAAAATTAACAGTACCACTCCAAGTAATTATTTTATACTGTTAGTTAAAGAATTTAAGTTGAAAGTACACTATGTAACGTCTTTATATAATATCAAATTTCAAATACTTAGTTATTGTATATTACTTGTAGTGGTTGCTTTACATATTTTTATTACACACAATTTGACTTTTTGTACTCAATTACTAATACAATTAAAAGGTGATAACACAAAATATTTAAGCGATGATATTCACCAATTTACAATATCAAACTCATCACTACTTTACGACTTGGATAATTTGTCTAGGTTAAAATCCGATCAAAATCATAAGTTAAAAATAATGCATCAAAACATAAGAAGCATAACTTGCAATATAGATGAACTTAAAGTTCTAATACATAGATCAGCTTTAGAATGGGACTTAATTCTTCTTACAGAATGTTGGTTGCCGTCCACCTACTATATTCCGATAATGGATGGCTATAACTATTTTAAAACTCTTAATAACGCAACCCAAAATGAAGGTGTAGTGGTGTATTTCAAAAAATCTTTGAATATAACCTGGCAGGAGTTGTCAATATCAGATTGTAATTGTATTCTTCTAAAAATAGGTAAGGATACTATAGTCATTGTAATTTATAGACCATCTGGATTTAAGGATCCCACAAATTTTATTGAATCGCTTAGTAGTACGCCCGATCAATATTCACATTATAAAACCATAATTGTAATTGGCGATATTAATATAGATATTGTTATACATAGTAAGGACTCCTACTCTCCATATTACTTAAATAGTCTGCCATCTAAAGGTATGTTACTTGCCCACACCTTCCCTACCCATGGCAAAACGTGTCAAGATCACGTCATATTGAAAACAAAACTTCGGTCAACCTGCTACGTTGCGGAGACTTCCATTACCGATCATGATACTGTAAATTCCGATAATTTAGATAGTTACCTTCTCACTTTAGACTTTAAAAGTATTTATTCTAGGCTAGATGTTGACTCAGCAGCTACATTCCTATTAGAATCCCTAAGTAATGCTTTAAAAATTATTACTAAAACAATTAAAGTTTCTAATCGCAAAACTATTAAAAAGCCCTGGATTATGCCAGATATTTTGAGATGCTTAAGAAATCGCGACAAATTATACCAAAAATGTAGAAAATATCCGCATGATGACGTAATCGTAACTACATACAAACGTTACCGTAATTATTGTAATGAACTACTTAAAAAACTGAAAAAAGAATATGAAAAATCAGAATTAACAGCAGCAGTTAAAAGAAGCAATAAAAAACTTTGGAACACAATTAAAACAGTCACAAATACGAATAAATTAAATAATAATGCCGATATATTATTAAACAAATCTGACCCTAAAACTTCAGTTAATTATGTTAATTCATTTTTTGTAAATATAGGTAAATCTTTGGCAGAAAAACACTACGTTAATAAAAACACTCGTAGCATTTTTTCTACAAACATATATCAACACTCCATGGTACTTATTGACACAGACGAACATGAAATAGAGACAATTATTTCAAATATGAAATCTGATTGTACCGTAGGTAGAGATAATATTTCTACTTTATTTTTAAAAACGTATAGACATTTACTCGTTCCTCCCATTACAGATACAATATGTAACGTAATTAACACACACTCTCAGACACCCCAATTGGTATATTATGTTATAATCATAATACATACACTGAATTTTTAGTTAAACAATTTTATGCATTGATTATTTATCAAATTAGTTATACTGATTCCGGAAGAATGTTGTGGTCACAGTACAAATCCACGAACGCAAAGATTTTAACGTGCTTGAAATAATGTTAATTTTTCTTTATTTTTATTGAATGACATAATTAGTAATAATGCAAATAAAACTGCAGTCTTAAAAGTCTTATTGCCTTAAGTTACGGTCCATTTCAGTTTGTTTTGACTGTATAGATTTAGTTTGACTGTAATTTACGTAGTTTTAATTATTTTTGGGATAAAAAATTACCTATATTAAAAATGATAGGAATCGATTCAGTAAACAATTCTGAACAAACTAATTTCTCAAAGTGCGTTAATTATGTTACGTGTTGTATATGTAACCTTTCCCTTAAAACTGGTAAATTCCCCAAGTGTTTCAAACTAGCTGAAATTCACCCTATTTACAAGAGCGGTGGTGTGTCAATAACTATAGACCCATTCCTATTCTTCCCACTATGTCAAAAATTCTAGAAAAAGTAATTAACAAGCGTTTGACTAATTACTTAGAGAAACATGATCTGTTATCACATTGCCAATATGGTTTTCGACCAAAACGTTCAACTCAGGATGCAGTTCATGAACTAACAGATTTCGTTGTTACAAACCTTGACCGTAAAAAGAAAGTAGTTGTTATATTCCTTGATCTAGCTAAAGCGTTTGACACAATTTACGTCTCGCTCTTGTTGAATAGGCTAGAAGATCTTGCAAGCTTCTAAGAAATACAAAGCTGAAACTTTTCTCTGACTACTTAAAGGATCGATATCAGAGGGTAAGGATTGGTGGTTGCTACAGTGATGACCTTCCCATATCATATGGTGTACGAAAGGGTAGTGTGCTCGGTCCCACGATATTTCTTACATATATTATTACACTATGTAATCTAAAAATTCACAATGGGAGGATCATTGCCTTTGCAGATGACACGGCTCTTCTTTTCCAGGCATATACATGGTCTGAGGTATATAACTTCGCACAAAATGGGTTAAACTAAATATAACTAAATGGCTTAGTTATTAAATCAAACCCATCAAAGAATCTAAACTTACATTAAATGTCAATAAAACAAAATACATAGCATTTACTACCCAAAACATCAATGTATCTGAGTTAGAATACTTTCATATTACATCTCACTGCTGCTCCCAAATTGAAAGCCCTTGCTCCTGTCCTACCCTGTCTAGAACGAATTGCATAAAATATCTCGGCGTAGTGATAGATAACACCCTTTCAAGCTTTCACCTTCATATTGGCCTCTTAAGTACAAGGATATGTAAGTTAATTTATATTTTTAAAAATCTACGTCGTGTTGCAGATTTTAATGTAAGAAAAATGGTATATTTTGCACTGTGCCAATCATTGTTGACATATTGCATTACCATCTGGGGAGGGGCACTAAATGTGTACTAAATGACCATATTGCAATTAGATAGGGCTCAGAGGGCACTATTAAAAGTTAGCGATTCTCTTCCATTCCGTTGTCCTACAACTGACCTTTATCAACATTGTAATGTCTTATCTGTTCGTAAATTGTTTATATTGCACACTACGCTGCTACAACATTCTCTTATACAGTATGAGTCCTCCTATAATAATGACAAAAGAAAGAAATATGTAGTTTGTCCCAGTAAGCTTCTAAAGACATAATCTTCGCATAAACATTTCCGCTTCCTGGGAGGTTAACTTAATAATAAATTAAATAAACTTTTGTCATTTTACTCTACCAAAACATGCATGTAAACAAAAATTACAGAAGTGGTTGCTAAATATCGATTAT